AAGAGACTTTGGGAGAATTTTGAGTAAGGCAGAGCTTTAGGAAGATGATTCAGTTAATTGAAATAATACGTTTCCCTTCCACTATAAAGTACACAGAAGGAAAGATTGCTACTCTTTCAAATGACTCCATTTTGCATTAATAGTGCAGGTAAAAATTTTGACTGAAAGAAATTGACAGAAAAGATAAAATGTGCTTTAGAGTTAACCCTGTATAATGATTATTCAAATATTTTTTCCTCCGTATCATGAATATAGAAAATTAGTTCATCAAATAGAAGTTTGTTATATTTTTTCTAGACCATCTCTGAAATGTCAAAATAATTTTCCCTTGATATGTAGGAAAACAAAAACTCAATGGAAATTCCTTACCCAAAAAAGTCATTTTTATTTAGACCCATCCATAGAGCACAGAGAGTTAAAATTTGAGTCTCTGATTTAGAAAAAGAGCACAAATCTGGAATAAAGCTTTCTCCTTCACAGCAGCTATCTATTTTTCTATTTTGTGGAATGATTTCTGAGGACTGCTAATATTTGTCAATTAACTCTCTAAGGTGTTAATTATTTGTAAATGATCCCACAGTTCTTTGCCATGAAGTATTTTGTGATTTTGTTAAAGCATAAATGTGCATCACATGGACTAGGTGGGTGCAAGTTGTCAAGCTAGAATACAACTTTACTGAGCATCAAGCATCTAGTGCCCAAAGTGATTTTGTTTCTGTCTATTCAACCATCAAGCAAAATGGTGAATGTCATATTCTGCCTTATTTGTTTAGCAAAAACAATATACTCTGAAGCTATTACAAATATGGAAATATGTAAAGAACATGCCATTAATGCATGTCAAAGGTCTGCTTCATCTTAAGAATTGAAAAGACATAGGTTGGGAAAGTCTACCGTCAAAAAAGACCCCTGGTTGTTTCACTAGAAAATCTATGATTCTCTAGAAAATCTGAGGAAAATCGACAGAAGTCAGCCTTTAAGTTTTAGGATTTTAAGATTTAAAGTGTCTTTAAATAATGCTAGCAATGTGCCCCCTTTAGGTTTGAATCATTTGTTTTAGAAATCATAAAAATTGCCAGTTGATTAAATGTTAGAGTCAAACAGATTCATGCAACTAAAATTGGAATTTCCATTTTTGCAACAAGTGAATCAGATTTAACATTTGGCTTTGATCACTTGGTAATGAGTCACTTGACTTGTATTCTAATGATCTCTAAATTAAAATTTGCAAATGGAATATGAGACCCTGTACATCCACAAGGATTAGGAAAAATGGCTTAGATGAATTCTGTTTCATTGACAAAATAATTAGATACTCATGGAGGATAATTAAAAGTATTATTATTTGAAATAATAAAATGATTTGCTTTCTACAAATAATTTATCTGTGAGGCTTGAGGTGTAATGGCCCTTGTTGACAAAGTTATTTGTGTCTCCATTTTATGTGAAATTCCTAGCATACAACTACACTTATTGTTAGATACAGACTCTGTGATATTACCCCCTTCTTTTTAAATTGGAATTTTTATCATGCCCTAAAGAGTGGCCCAGTCATCATGTTTTCTGAATTCATATTTTGGCAAGAGGCCCTTTCCTTGGGCAGCCGATGAGAGCTGTCAATGATATTTCCCTGTAAGGGACAAGCTCTCTTGCCAGTGGTAGGCAGGCACTGCAATTTAAGCTTTGTCTAGTTAAAAATAGTCAGGACTCAATGTCAACTTGAATTTTTTACTCTGTTTTGCAAATACCAAGAGATGTGATACCACTCTTGGAGAGGGCTGTATATCTAGGATATATTTATTTAGCTTTTTATAATAAGAGGACAAACTGTCCCCTAAAGCATTGAAAACATAATTTCTCTTTAGCTATTAAAGGGACACCGGCAGAGTAGTAGAAGTAGCCAAAGTAAAAATCAAAGAAACAAACAACAAAAATAAGCCTTTCTTTCCCTGCTTACATTATTCATGTGCCCTCCAAAACATGCAAAATTTAAGACACATGAAAGAAGTCACAAGAGCTATTACTTTACACATTACATTACACTAGAGTAATGTCTGTCCAGATCTAGATTTGCTATTGTCCTTAAGATGAATACTGAACTTTCTGAAAATAGAAATAAAACGCCTAACCTCAAACCTTTTGGACCTGTGAAGGCCTGGACTACCTTTACATGACCTAGTATAAGTCAGCTAACTAATGGTCCTTGGTTTGCTTCCTTCTAAAAATGGAAAGAATGCTTCCACACCAATCATCCAAGGTTTATGGCTGTTTATGAGCAGCTGTCAGAGAGAGGCCTCTCAGAAGACCACTGAACCAAACCTGCAAGGCAGTAGTGAAGCCCTTTCAGCAGAGGAGGCCCTGAGCCTCCTTGTTGACCCCCTTGGGAAAGCAAGGGTTCTTCCACTGGATGCATAAGAACCCTCATCTATGGCATTCAGCCCAACCAGTCATGAACCTCATAGCACAGGTGGTGCTATGTCAACCAATAAAAAGTCAAATGTACCAGGTAATTTATAATTACGATGGCTGACACTGTAGGATTTAAGGGGGTAGGGCATCTACTACACTGAATTACACTATTGGGCCTTTCATAGAGTAGACCTGAGTCCCAGCATTGTCCACAGTATCAGGAGCCTCCCCATCACAGATGACCCAATTTTTATTTTTCTATTCTTCTCATCATTTCCAGATTACACCTGCCTACAACTTGGATATCTAAAGTTCTTGAGCATTTGGCCCTTGGGGATTCAGGAGAATAGGGGCTCATATTTATATGATAGATCTGTTCTTCAGTTCCAGTGTTAGTTTTTTTTTCTCTTAAATGATTATGTAGGTGGAAGGAAGTTTGGAGCCTCCTTGGCACTGATCCATTCTGGCTCCCTATACCCAGCATACTGAAAGAAAAATGCACGGTGAAGTTACCTCCAATTCCTTTTAGGTTAGGATTTTAAACAAGAAGATCGATTTTAGCAAGGTTCAGTCCAGATGTGGTTCCAAGGATAACATCAAACATTCTGCTGGGGGCGGAAATGTAAGTAGAAGCTTCTATTAGAAAGCTGTCCTGATTGTTTGGAGCCATCTGCACAGCCAGCACACTGTCTCTTTTCCTGCCTTCCTCACAATACACACCCCCCCTTCTTGTTGCTGCTCCACGTGTGCCCTGGTCAGGGAGCTGGTCACCCTTGCATTTTTGCTGGTGGACTTCCCATCCTTCCCTGTAAGTTCATCAACAAATTTCTTTCTTTGAATTGAGGAATAAAACCTTAATGGACTGCACAGTGGTTTTCAGGGGGATGGCAAACCCACCTCACTTGCCAATTTTGTTTGCTGGCCTTTGGCTTCAAGGTATTTCCTCATGCTGTCTCTACTCCCCAACAGAAGTCAGCTGGGCACACACACATTTATAGTTCCATTTAAATTACTCTTGAAGCAAAGGCTGATACACTTGAAAGTACCTAAAGTGTATTATGACAGTCTTTTGTCCATCGCTATTCATGAGAGTTAGGATATCATTTGCAATAATGCAAAACTAATGAAACACAGTTCATGTGTCATTCCAAGTCCCAATATAAATTTTGTCTTGACGGGATTATGTTTTCTGTGCCTTGAATTGAGTGGAAATAATGTCCTTTGAGAGGAAGGGAAAGATGAATCCATGTTTCTAAAATGTAGTTGAGGCAGAGGCAAACCCAAGGTATAGTCAGCATGATTCTTCACAAAATAAGAATAATAAAAGAGGTGAGCCAGGCTGACTGTCTGTTCTACAGATCCTGTCACCTAAAACTTCAGAACCTGGCCATCTGTGACTTAAGTAATTTACAGTGTAAAGTCCAGATTTCTCACCTGTTTAATAACTCTTGGCTCCTTGCTCCTCAGCTGGGCAGAGATGGAGTCAAGCAGTGAAAGAGGACAAACAACTGCCTTCTACCAGGAACTGTCACCTCTTGCTTGAACTAGTCCCACTGAGCATGAAAATGTCACTGTCATAGGAAGTCCATAACAAGGTTTGCTGGGCTCCTTTAAGGGTGCTGGGCTAAGCCTCAGGATCAGTATTTACATTGACACGTTGCCCTCCTCCCTGTGTCCTGACTGTAAGTGCAAACCATGCGATACTTTCACAGAAACAGTCTCGGTCCTGGGAAATAACTGGAGGGTATCAAAGGGTGACCCCTATCCTCTACTGCAGGGCCTGCTGGTCCAAACAGCTAAGTGGCAAAGGATAAATGAGATAACTAACCATCTTAAAGAAATTAGGGGAGCTTCCAACCTCCAAAACAATAGTCTTAAACTTTCCTCTAGAGAAGAATCACGTGTTCAAATATGCAGATTCCATGGCCTCATTTCCACAGTGTCCAATTCAGTAATCCCATGTACATCTAATGCAAATGGACAACAGCCCACATTTGGAAAAGCACTGTTTCTAACACGGGGAGAGGAAATAATTTCAATAAAATACAAGAAAAAATGTTAATACCATCTTATAATTTGGTGTATGAGAAAAATTCCATCAGCCAAGACATGACAATAGTATTTTAGAAAAGCATGGTTACAGCTTTCTTCTTGTATCTTAAAGCAGTGGTGGTCTTCTTATATCTATGAGCAATGGTGGTCACTTTTATGTAAAAATCACTTTTAAAAAAAATCATTCATCTCTTCACTTCGCTTTTTGCTTATGGGAAGGTTTAACACCGTGTGGTTTCATTCTCTGAGTGGAAGCTTGCCCTATTAATCCAGGTGTTGCTATCCTCTTGTGGCATGATCTGTTTTCTACTAATAAAATCTTCTATCCTAGGATTTTCTTTCACTTCAGTCCTTCTCTCCAACCAAACGTGGGAGGATATTGGGAGGTTATGTTTTCCTGTGTGTGTGTATGTACTTCAGTTTGGGTTTCTGTGTTGTTGGGTGTTGTGAGCTTGGATATGTTTGCGGGTTTTGCATATGAGCTTTGGAGCTCGTCTATGTCCCAACCATTTTAAGCATATTTTATGTGGCTCATACAGGTACAGATTGTTACCAAGAAGATAGACCTAAGCCATGTGACCTCCAAATGTGGCTCTCTGAAGAACATCCGCCACAGGCCAGGTAAATAAATTCTTCTTAGTAGTTAGAGAAATATTAAATTGTGTTTAAGAAATTGACAAGCAAAATTTTTGTTATGAAATACCTACTTGGAAAAATGTCTCAAAATCCTGAAAATTCATGCTTTTATTAATAGAAACTTAAGCTAGAAACTTCAAACCATCTTCATTGGGACAGATAAACTTCAATATCACAAAGAGGCCACATATCATAGGACAAGTTCAAAATCAAAAGATATATAAAATGCATTTATCTCTACGTTCTCAACCTGCACACTGGAGTTCTTTTAAAATATATAGTCCATAAAATACCTTGGGCCATGTATTCATACATAATTACATGAGCTGAAATTAGCATTTCCAAAGATTTTTCATGAAAACGTTTTTTCTACATTATGTGAAATAGGGTTTGTGCTTAAGCAAAGCTGATGAAATGTGTTTATCTGCTGAATTTCTCAGATCCTATAGTAGGTCAACAAGCATTACGAACCCTCAGCAGAATGCAGTGCTTAATGGATCCATTGCTTGATGCAGTGCTCATCCCAATTCATTTAACCATTGGCCTCTCGTTTTTCTAGAATATCCTATGGGACTAGTGGTCTAAAGTAGAACTTATATTCATACTTGCTGGGAATTATTTCATCTTTAAAATGTAAATCTAACATATTATGAGTCATTTTTTATTCTGAGTATCATTATCACATATTTTTGTTAAATTCTACCTGCATGCCTATGTAAATAGTGGACAACTGTCAAATTTATAATTTTCTTAAGAATGTTTTGACACAGTATATACCATTGAATTATAGAAGGACACGATGTTAGTATGCCTGATAACTTAATTAAACCAAGTAATAGGTTATTACCATTCATTATCTCAAATGTTATCAGAAACGAGGGATAAGAACTGTGAGCCCCAGGGCACCTGGGTAGCTCAGTTGGTTAAGCACCGACTCTTGATCTCAGCTCAGATCTTGATCACAGGGTCATGAGTTCAAGCCCTGCATTGGGCTCCACGCTGAGCATGAAGCCCATTTAAAAAGAAAAAGAACAACGACAACAACAATTGTCGACAACAACAATTGAGTCCAATAAGATTTGTGACCAAGAGAAGATTATTAGCAATGTACTAATTGAAAATTAGTTGAAAACCAAATGTAGATAGGATAAGTTTCAAAATGAATAAATGCATTGGAAACATGTCTAGGGGTCAGGCTTCACTTTGAGAAGGTGTGTTCATAAAGTAAATCAAGGAGTTAGAAAATACATATATGGAATCTCTGTTGGTTCACGACCCTCTTGGGAGCTTCCCTGGTATAATCTGAAATTGGCCCCTGTACTCAGAAGGCAGGAAGAAACTGAAGAAAGAGGCAGGCCACTCCAGGTTGGCAGTGGCAATTTTAATAAGGAAAGGGAATTTACATATGAGGTTTGTCTTGGGCAGCAGCAAGGTGGATCCCAACACCTACTTGCCAAATCTTAGAAGCTTATAAAGAGGCCTTAACTGGGTTTAGTCATGTTTACAGTGTAGCTCTCAACACCACATCGTTATCACAGAGCTATGTCCTTCGAGCAGCCTCTGGAAGCAGGAAAGGCAAGCAGAACCCACATTCCCAGGACAAGGTAGGGAACGAGAAGTCTCTAAGTGCCCGGGTCCAGCTCTCAGGTCAATCAGTGGTCATGTCTTTTTGTAGATTATCCCCAATAATGTCCAATACTAATTTCAGAACTGTTACCCTGGAATTAGCTTCTCTTTCATTCCTGAGGCAGCAGGGACATGGTGTCATACTGCATATCGTCACAATTCTGTCTGTACCTCAAGCTTACAAACACTTAGTTGACTCTACTGCTGTGTCAACATGACAAGTATTTGGCCATACCACCTATTTTCTTCCAGAATGCAAAATAAAATTTTGAATTCTTTATTTTAGACAGTAAGTATTCCATTAGCCAAATTCAACCAGACTCTTGATGCACAGAAAAATGTTACACAGTTAAGGAAATAGTCTATGTAAGATTTATTGGTCATAAAAGACTATTGTCATAGACTCCTACCTATTTCTAAATCTGGATCTTACTTTTCTAAGAACTGCAGCAGATGACTAAATTCATAAAGAAGTGTTAACACTATGATCCTTGACAACAGCAAGCTTTTCACAAAGTTACTTTGGAATGTGGAATATGTACAGAGAAAATAAAGGCAACAACTCAATACCTGGAAGCTCAACCTTAGGATGTATGAGGCCTGATAAAGATTATAGTCCTTCACAATCACGGCTCCTGGTGGGTGCCAGGATTCTTCAGGACCAAGGGGATAGATCCATGAATTCAAATGGGCTTCTCTAATAGTTATATAAAAGTTTCTAGTAGGATTTTCACAAAAACAGACTTCTCGAGCTTCCTTTCCTGAATATATTTGGGGTCAACCTTACATTTTTTTTTCTGTCGTAAAATAGAATTCAACAAAAAATTTAACACAGTTATGTTGACACAACATAGAATCATAAAAGAGAGCTTGAAAAGGCCACTTCTATTAAAGGCTACCAAAAAATAATAGAAAGGTCCCAAGAAAGTGGATCTCATCTAGAGAATTTAACATCCTCTATGCTCTAATCAAGATAAGTATGTTTTATAAATCACACTAATCCCATCACAACTAACAAGTGAGACCCACATGGCCAGGTGAAATGTTGGAAGAATAAAATTGATTGCAATAATACATATTTTGAGGGAGGGACAACTACATGTCTCCTGTAAGCATGAGCTAAATAACATCATGCACATCCTACACCTTCAGAAGAACGAATGGATATATCTTCAAAATGTAATCTAATCACACCATTTAATTTCAAGGGGCACTTTCCCAGGTAGTTGGGTGTCATTGTAAATGTCCAGGTATCATATGAGAAAAATACTGCAAGGTCTAAGTCTGGGAAGACTTAACAGACCTTTCTTTGCTGACCTTGAGAGATAAATAAGCATCAAGAGTCCAAAATTGAAAAACCTTTTCCATGTTTCTCCCAAGTCAAAATCCTAAGACAGATGCAATAATAGTAGAGGATCATGTCTTTTACCACTGGCCTTTCAAAGAAATGCACACAGCCAAAACCAAATTGCTAATCAAAGTGAAAGCAAATCTTAGGTGGAGAGGTAAAGGAGTCTAATTCAGACTAAAGGACAATGGATACAACTGGGCTTGAACTCCTTGCATTTGCAAGATGGAAAAGGCATGCAGAGATAGGGGCATCACTCTAAAAGGTGGCATGTTGGCACTCTCATCTATCAGTAGATCCTCAAATTTAAGACTAGCATTTAGGGAAATGGCATGGTCCAAACTGTATCCCCATTATCAGATCAAAATGAGTGTAAGATTGGTCCTATGGCATCTGTGTAAGAATGGGATCTCTTCATGTTCTCCTCCTATTACTCCATCTGCTAATGATAACAGGACACTCTCAAAACTCTCTAGTTATAAACCACTTAGTTTCCAGCTCGAATTTCATCAGTCAAGCTCTCAGTGTTGAAATTTTACAAATGAATATATGACCCGTATGTGCACCATTCCTAACCTATAGTTTTTTGGAAAAGTGACCTATTACCATGAAGAACATTAAAGAAGATCTTCATTTCAATTTAATTTGCACCCTTAAGGATAAGAGATTGGATGTTCCATGTTTTAGAAAGGGTGAAAGGAGATATTTTCATTGTGTTATTTTTAGAGTTTTTGTTGTATAGATAAGGAAATGCCCCTCGTATATTTTAGGTTAGACATAGGTAGATTATTAAGAAGAATTTATTAGTTGAAAAGTAAAGAGCAGAGGGGATAAGTTTCAAAATAGATAAGTGCATTGGAAACTTATCTAGAAATCAGCCTTCACTTTGGCTTAGAGGAAAAAGATATTAATATGTAGAGCAGGCCATATAATGGTACAAAATAAAGATGTCATTACCTTGGGTGGTATGGGAATAATGGTATGGACTGGAATTCTAAAAAAATCCCCATCGCATCCGTGGTCAAAAGAATAGTAAATGAAGTTTGTGCTTTGTGATGATCTATCTACTGAAATCATTTTAGGGAAATAGTCACCACAAATAGAAGATGTCATGGTAGCAAGGCATTTAAAAGCTTTGTCCTCTCACAGGTGGTGGGCGTGTGAAGATTGAGAGTGTAAAACTGGATTTCAAAGAAAAGGCCCAAGCTAAAGTTGGCTCACTCGACAATGCTCACCATGTACCTGGAGGTGGTAATGTCAAGGTAAGAAACAAGGTCGCGAGCCGAGCCTGTCTTATTTTGTTTTGTTTTAATCCTTCTGAAATACTCCTTATCAAAATGGGTCCCAGATGGAAGACCTGGGCATAGAGGAAGTAGAGATGGCAGAGCTGAACAGAAGTGACATTGATATCAGCTCTGAGACACGATGGGAAGTCTAGGGGCCATTTAAGATGCTTGAGTTAACAAGGACTGATGTTTGTCTTGAACAGATTGACAGTCAAAAGCTGAACTTCAGAGAGCATGCTAAGGCCCGTGTGGACCACGGAGCTGAGATCATCACACAGTCCCCAGGCAGATCCAGCGTGGCGTCCCCCCGACGACTCAGCAATGTCTCCTCCTCTGGAAGCATCAACCTGCTCGAATCCCCTCAGCTTGCCACTTTGGCCGAGGATGTCACTGCTGCACTCGCTAAGCAGGGCTTGTGAATATTTCTCATTTAGCGTTGAAGTAATAATATTTAGGCATGAGCTCTTGGCAGGCGTGGGCTCTGAGCAGGTGTTATATTCATTCTTTCCAAACCATAAAATAAATAATCTCATTCCCAAACTGTAGTAATTGTTACAATTTTATAAAAAAAACAATGAATAGTATATGCAGAAATTGACTTGATTTCCATTTGCAACAGGAAGACACTGGCTTTACATGAGTACAGTTGGACAATTATTTTTGCTCTGCTCTGTTTTGCATGGAGTATTATTATTTTAAAACTTGCATTTTTACCTTTCATGTGCCTGAAGGCTATCCATACATTCTGAAAGGCCTTGTTGAACTCCAAGCTGCTCATTTCACTATTCTGTTGCTGGGTGAAACGATAAAAGCTGCCCATTTTAACTTATTACAGGTTAAATTAAATCAAGGAGTCTGATTGCAGGAAGGAAAGAGCATGTAAGAAATAAGTTGTTTTTTTTTTTTTTTTAAGTGTTATTTTGTATAAATGGGAAGAAAGATTCAGTTAAGTTATTAACATTTGGGACCTGGATAATTATATCAGAGTATAAGTCAATCCAATAAATTATTTAACTAATTAAAAATAGTTACGAAGCATTTGATCTGTGGTTGAGGAAGTGGTATAAAAGTGCATCTCTTAGGAATGAAGCACTTTCATTAGGATGGGCTCGTGTCTGATTAGAATGTCAGTTGATCAGCTAGATTTGTGTCCACACTACCAGTTTCACACTCCCTTTCCATCTGTTTGATACAGTATTATAGATATAAATATATATATATTTCTCTGTGGCCATTTGTGATACTTCCTCATATACTTGAATATTATACTTCCTTATTCACAGTATCTGTGTCTCCTGCACCCTTCGGTGTTGCAATTTTAGGTATGTGAAAGTAGATGTTAGCAGGGTTCTTTCCCTACTCAAAAAAAAAAAAAATACATTAAAAAAGAACAAAAAGTTTTAGCATGAAGTTGCTTCCTGTAACAACTCAGAGCTGTAACCCTGTTTTAGTGCCAGATACAAGTCTCTCCCGTGATGCTAGGAAAAATTTTTTTTCTTTGCTTTTACCAACATGGAGTTTGTGGGGGTGGGTCCAGTTATACATTGAAAGGGTTTACAGATTATTGGTTTAAGATTATGGATTTATCTCATTTTGAATTATGGAATAGTTTGGGTTTTATTCCTGTAATCATTCACAAAACAGACTTCTTAGGATTTCTTTCTTTCTTTTTTTTTTTTTTTTCCATTTGCTAAAGTTGAAACTCACAGAGGGAGTTTGGGACATGTTGCCCCACTCCTCCAAAAAGTTACTGCTAATTAAATTACCTGATAGAAAACATTTGGCTTTCTTACCCGAAGTAAAGATCCCTTGATCAGAAAGGACAAATACAGTATTTTGAGAAGGTATAGCTACAAAACATTTGAGATACAGATATCTAAATCAGTTTTTTCAGGACTCCCAACATTGCCCTCTGTAAAGGAACACTATATGACTATTACTTATCAAAAGGTAATGTTGGTCTGGCTTAATATTGAATCTAGAAATCACAAATGAATTAATTCCTCTCACAAATCATTCATTTTAGACTTGTGAATAAGCAATTTATAGTCAATGGCCTGAATATGCAATGAGTTACCAGTCTGGGTGGATGCTCTTATGTATTTTATCTCTGTTTTTTCTTGCTCGGGGCTGGTAGGTTGGATATGAACAGTCAAAGGCAAATGGTCTGATAGGTGTTTGATCTCTGTAAGCCAATTCCTGAACATAAAGGAGGAAATGATGAGCATGGATGTAGCAATGAGGAAGTATAGTAGTATCTAAGAACACAGCCAAGGGATACAAAGACAGAGAGACACAGGTACTGCCATTTTGTGACCACTGGATATTGCAACCAATGTGACTCCCATCAAAAAAACTCTAGGAGCAAAATCATATCATTCATTCTCAACAAGGAGGCTTTACATAGGCAAACATGTCTGAAAATATAAATCAGTTATTTTATACGACAGTCAAAAAATTAGAAACTGCTCAGTATGACCGTGGATATATCTATTTTCTGTCTAGTAAGTGCTGTGATGTGGATTTGACCAACCTGAGCATTTTATTCATCAGCTTCCCTTGAAATGCACCAGAAAATAATGGAAGAAAGAATAGTTATATGGAGACTTATGGTACTTTCTTACATGTTTGATAGTGTTAGTGATTAAAGTTCTCTAGAAAGAAGTTAACAGTTGGTTAGGACTCTTAACCCACAAAATAAGCATTTTTTTATCAACCTGGTTTAAATTTTTTGTAAAACTTAAGAATAAGTAATTATGCTTTACATATTAAAATTCCATTTCCTACAAATACTTGCCCCAAATAAAGATTATATAAAGCACTAAATTTAACTTAGATTTGGCATTAAAACAAATGTTTATTTCAAATCACAGCAAAATTATAATGAATAAATGCCCTTCCTTTGTATGGAAATGTGATTCTTTACAATGTTAACAAAAAGAAACTGATAATTTGTACCAATGGAAGAGGGAAACACACAGGCTAAATGTCTTCTTATGGGAAGAGGGGGTGGAACCTATCTTGCCTTCACTCTCAAGATTAACGACACAAATTAAGCTTTTTGAACACCACTCTTGTGGGGATACCCATACGCTGATCTAGAAATTAAAGCTTCATAGTTCCAATTCTAGATCTACTAATGCCAGTTTCTCTCTGGCTTTAGCCTTTGAGAACCTGTTTAAGGATACATAAGTAATCCAGAGCTGTGAAGAGTTAAAAGGCCAGCTTCTCCAATGAACTCACTCTCTTGGGTCACCTGCAACCAATAATTGGGTACTTCATAATGACACAGGGAAGATCCAAGTTCCTGATGAGTTTCAAAGGCCATGTTCATTTAGGAACCAACTCTCTCTGGATTCTCCTGCTGAGTTCCAGCAGGGTGATAGGCTGAAATCCCACCCACAAGCAAGACACCTGTGTAACACCAACTAGGTTTGGCTAAAGAAGGCTGAAGAGAGAACTCTGTTAAATGGAAGAATCTGCTGATGGTAGCAGGTCTTCTCCACACATTCATATAGTAATACAGCAGAAAATAGAATCATCAAAATATAACATCATGTCGATATTGTTAAAGAAATCATCTCAATGTGGTTGATTGTGACATTGCTACAATGACACTTTTTCTCCTATTTTTCATGCCACAAAAATGAGGAAAATAAACTATTCATGGTCTAAGTACTCAAAAAACAAAAATACATTCATGACTTGGAAAGACAAACTTTAGGCATTCCTTCCAAGATTGATGTGCTAAAATCAACACTGATGTTTGTGTTTTTACACCTAGGATTTTTAGCCTGGGTGTGTAGGTTGAGGCCAAGTCCCTCTGCAGGAAATAGCTTATTTTTAAACTTAGAAAATGTCAATCATGAAAATCTACTTCAACTTTAGCAAAAAGAAAAAAAAAATCAACACAAAGTATACTCTGTATGCTGGGATTCCAAGGTTCCAACATGCCGCTACAAATCTCTGGGGGGGTTTCTTTCTTCTGATAATTCTAGAGCCTGTTACCATAGAAAGGCATTTCTTCAATGGCTGGTTGTAGTTAGTTCATGTTTTTCAATCAAAATTTGCAAATGTATTTGTTGCTGTATAGTGATTGTTTTGCAAAATAAAATTGCTTGTCACCTAACTTATAGTTTCAGATTGTTTCTTCTCTGGAAAAAAACATACACACATGCACACACAGTGCTCAGTTCAATCAAGGAAAAATTATGCTGAGAAGGCTACAATTATCTCCCTAATTCCTACTGTGTACCAGGCTTCATCTACTACTGTATTTAGCAGGATGCTATCTGTTTTAAGTGACAGAAGCACAGATCAAATTGACTTAAGTGACCAACAATTCAAGCCTCAGGCATGGATGGATCCAGGCATTCAAAAGATGTCATTAGGAATCTTTCTTTTTCTAAATCTTAGCTCTGCTTCTTCTGTGTTGGCTTTATTGACCTTTCACGATGGTCACTGGAAGCTCCAGGTTTTACAACCCACTAAAGAAAGCCTCCTTCCCACTAGCATTAGCCAAGGTCCCGGGTCTGAAAATCATTTAACTTTGGGTCACCTGCTTACTTCTGCTGATTGCCCATGGTTGGGTCACATGATTAACTCTATCCCAGGTGGTTGGGTAGGAGGAGAGCAAAGGAAGAAGTGGTCTTATCTGGACTACATAAACTAATCGTGAAGAGGAAATGTTCCCTTCTAATTAAATGTTCTGTCCTAAGTAAAGTCAGGTTCTACTGCTAGGTCCTAATGTGCAGGTCCTAATGTGGACTTCCTGTGGGTCCATATGCCCTTTTCACTATCTTTATTCAATCCTTTAGCTTCTTGCTACTCAAATTGTGCTCAGGCATCACCTGGGACCTGGTTAGACATGCAAATTCACAGGCTCCACCCCCATGCCAATTTCCAGCATTTCCCTAGGTGAACCAGTCTGCATGTTAAAGATGAGAAGCATTCACCTCTTCTAGTCCAAGGGGAAAGAGCTCCCCTGCAGCCCCCTAACAGGTAAGAATTACTCCTAAGACTACATGAGATAATATCACCAAGTCTAATATCAAAGAGTCTAGATAATTCTATCACAATGGTAGAAACTTGTGACTGGTGGAAGAAGTGTCGTATTAGAAGTTTTCCAGACTTGCCATTCTAGCTTGGCTGAAACCTACATCTACCAATGGAGTTATCACCTTCCATTCCATCTTTCTTTACTAATAATGCAGATCTTGTCCAATAGAGCCAACATCACTGGACTTTCTCTTTAATGGTGTTTTTTTTTTTTTATTAGTATCCTTGTTGTCCTTCAAGTAAGTCTTTACACAGGATTTAGACATTTATTTGGTAGCACTAATCACAATAAAGTCTTAATTTTCTTTTTTATTAACAAGGCAAAGATTTTACTTGTCTTGAGAAGAGATAAGTAACTCAC